AACATTACTCAACTGAGTAAATTGGGTTGATGTTCGGAACACTTACTCTCAATAATCTTTTGCTGTGAACTCTCAAGAGCAACACTGAAGAGCAAATCAAATAGTCGACTTGATGAGTATTGTTTTGATACATTAAGTAACAACAATCTCACTTCCACTTAGGTAATATTGTCGCTATCCTAATTGTTGTGACCAACATTAGATTGTTTGATTTTTTTTTTCAATGCTATAAAAAGTCTTTGAAGGTTGACTTTGGAATGCCGATATAGCACACAATCAATTATAGATTTCTCATTTATTATTCACAAGTATTAATGATATTTAAAAACATTGATATCAAGCCCTAAACATCATATTTTGAGCACTCATAAAAAAACAGGGCATCTACAATGACAACCCATTGATCATGCAATCTAACTAAAAGACATCAACCACCCTTAAGGAATTATGACATAGACTAACTAATTTTGCTTGAACACGACAATTGGATTTGAAGCTTCTAACCAAAAGCAAAAAAAGGACGAAGGTCAAACATACAATCAGGTGACCTGGTAGACTAAGAGTAAATACTAAATACTAAACAGTTTTACAAATATTCGCCCATCGAATCAAATCGAGTTAAACTTACGTGACATGCACTGACTGCAAGGTACTGCTCAAGCAAGAGACAAAAATAATCTAACCTTTTATGATGACGGTGCATGACACATTCCCTTTATAATGTTACCCCAATCAGAATAGTGAATGAAACTTTTAAATAGTTTAGTCTAATAAGCATAATCGGTTGGGGAGAAATACAAATGTATTATCAAGCATACTGATTATCTAATACTCACGAAAAAAATGGTTGAATTACCTATGGATTATTTACAGTTTCATTTTCGTAAAGTAGTGATCTACTAAAATTAAAGTTTAAGAGCAGCGCAACAACCTCAAACGCAACATTATAATGAATGGATCAACTTCTCTGCGACATGATTTTCTTCTCAACGATTATGATTCATGCTAGGAAGGGGATAATGGCAACTGTAACTATTCCCCCAAAGAAATGTCAAGGAGTTGTCACAATTTACCGAAGGCTGTGTTCAAAAAAAAAAAAAAAACGTTACACTTCCTCGAAACTTGCTTCCTTCTGAGCAGTGTCTCCGGCTTGCTCAAGGGCAGGCTCCACAATATTTGAAAAACATGAACCTGGTTGTCATAACAGTCAGGCTCATCCTTTCTAGCATGAAGCGCTATTTGCTCCAAAAAACGGACATTGATGGGCCAGGAGATCCTGTTGCGACCATCCACAGAATTTCCCGATCCCTTCCTGCCCCACCAGTTGGCAATGGTAGACATGCAATGGTATGGAGCAGATTGAGGATCAAGGGTGGAACATACAGAAGAGGCCCAAAGCGTCAATCCCCTGGAAACAGGGCAATCAATACTCGCAGGCCTAATGATTATAGTGGGATCTGGCTGCCGGTATGTAATTATAGAAATCTTTGCTCTGTTACAAGGGACGCTGGACCTGGTTTCCAGCAGGTGACGGTCCCCACCAATAGATGAAGCCTCTCCGACAGTACTAGAGGTGTCTGCTCCTATCAGCACCCCTAGTACTTGTCTGAGCTGCTGAAAAAAAGGAGTTGACAGTTGGGACTGGGGCCGGCAGGGGGAGGGAGGAACTAGTGTGTAGCAGTGGGTATCTGGCGCCGGGTTCAGGGTGAAGAGGTTCCCCCTTCCCTCTAATATCCTGCTCAGTCAATCCCCTGGATCCCAGGGTAATCAATGCTGGGCCATTGCTGGCAGGAATCTCCCACAATTGTTTTTTTCTGATGTACTCCAAATTCAGTCTGTATATGGGACGCTGGACCCGTTTTCCAGCAGGTGATGCTCCCCACCAATAAATGGAGCCTCTCCCCAGGTGCTAGTGGTGTCTGCTCTTATCAGCACCACTAACACTGGTGGGGGCGTGTTTAAAAAAACAAAAAAACAACAAAAAAAAAAGTGCCACAGCTTCTGTTGCAGGGCCTTAAACCCTGCTAACCTGATGAAAGCTGTTCTTCTTCTTTTTTTCCCTTTGCGCCGGTAGATGGCTCTCCAATTTCTTTTCTTCATTATAGCCGGTTCTTTCATTTCGCTTACACTGTCCAATTTCCCTCTTTCCTTTTTTATCTTTTCCTTTCTTTGCTCGGGCGTGTTTGGGTGCATGCCAGTCTGTGTGAAAACAGGGGATGGTCCCAGCTCTATCCTTTCTATTTGGGGGGAGGGGGGGGGCTTTCACACGTGTCTGTCTGAAAATAGATCTTATGGTCCCAGCTCTGTTTTTTTTTTTTTTTTCCCTCCCTTTTCTTTAGACCTTATGGTCATAGCTAAATTCTATTCTGCGGAGCATAAATCCAAGTCCTGCTTCACTGGCCAGTCTCAGAGTTGTGCAGACATTTCCAGGAGTTAGATTTGTCTTGCGTTTGGAAATCCTTGCGCCGACTTGTGCCACTAAGTCCATGTCAATCTTGTTCTCTATTTGCAGTGGCCAATTAAACCACCAGTACCTTTCCCCGCTTGGAAAACAAGGACGGTAGATGAACAACTTAAGGATATGCAACAGTTTGGGAGAGTAGCACCAGGAGTGTGCAGCCCGAAGGCACGACTGTTGGACTGTGCTGGACCCCCCTCCCCTCCTCTGGTCACAATGTCTTTTGTTCTCTGAAAAATTTGTAAAAGGGGACGCTGGGCCCGTTTCCCAGCAGGTGCCGCTCCCCACTAATAGATGGAGCCTCCCAGAGAGAAGCTTGAGAGGTCTGCTCCTACCAGCATCTCAAGCTGCCTCCGGAGATTGTTAAAAAAAAATAAAAAAATGCGGCAGTTAACACGGGGAGTCGGGAAAGGGGAACACCCAGTTGTGCCCAAACGCACGGGCAAACAGGCAATGCAAAATTCTTTTGAATCTTCAAATGAACGGCGCGGGCGGGAACGAACTGCGTGCACAGAGAGAGAGAGAGAGAGAGAGAGAGAGAGAGAGAGAGAGAGAGAGAGAGAGAGAGAGAGAGAGAGAGAGAGAGAGAGAGAGAGAG